GTGTGTGTGTGTGTTTGTGTGTGCGTGTGCGTGTGCGTGCGTGCGTGCGTGTGTGTGTGTGTACTTGTATCCCCATATACATCCTACCTTATCCGTGCTCACGCACCTGTGTATACGCCAACACAGAGCCCTCAGCGGACGAGAAGATCAAACGGTCCATAGTGCAGGTACAGATGTTTGGTGAGATTGATAAGGCCCTGTTGCTGGTACAGGCGGGTAGTTTGGCCTTTGACCTGCAAAGCAAACTGCAACTGGCGATGCAAACGGTCGAGAAAGGACTCTCTGAGGCGCCCTTACACGTGCAAGAGCGCAAGAATGGTACGTGGATAGGGTTGTGTGTGTGTGTTTGTGTGTGTGTGTGTATTACATGGATAGGGTTGTGTGTGTGTGTTTGTGCGTGAGTGTGTATTATGTGAATAGGGGTTTGTGAGTGTGTTTATGAGCGTGGGTGTATATGAGTTTGTGGGTGTGTGTGTTATGTGCACAGGGTTGTGCGTGCGCGTTTGTGAGTGTGTGTAAATGCGGGTAAGCTGTGAGATTTTGTGTGAATATTTATGAGTGTGTATGTTTGGTTGCATGTGTGTGTTTGTGAGGGTGTGATATACGCGTACGTGGGTATTTCCGTATGCGTTTATTCGCGTGTGGTTTATATTGATATGTACATCGGTGTGCATACGTGTGGTGTCTGTGTGTGTGTGCATGTGCGTGCATGTGAGGGTGTGTACACGTGTTGGTTTGTGTGGGTGTATATCTATGTGCATATGTGTCTGTGTGTGTGTGGTGGGCGGGGGGGAGGGTTGCACTGCTGTACAAATAACCACCCAGATAGCTACCACGTTCTACACCCGTCTATAACCGTAAAATCGGTGCATATTCACTGGGTTTTAGCGTTTAGGATTTAGTTATGCTCATGCGTGTGTAAACTCACACAGCCATGCACCCGACGAACAGAAAGCCTGTACCTTGTTAAATCGTGCATGCATCACAACACACAACTATTAGCGTACAAATTCAAAATATGTACGTTTACGTACATTAATATATACGTATTTGTCCCACGCACATAGCCACCTACCTCCAAAGTCAGAATACGTATATTTGCATACATGTCTGTGTACATCTGTGCCCATTATGTCATGTACGGAGACGCTCACACATCCTTCTTCCGTATTCACATCTTCAAACACACAGCTGCCAAAGAGAAGGACAACACTTTACCGTCGGATATGGTGCTGACATTCTCAATGCCATTGGCAGCAGCACAGGTCACCTACGGCGATGTCGAGTTTACGGGCGACACCTGGGTCAACAAGGGCATCCCATGTGTACGACTGCAGTCTACAGATACTGTACTCTTGGTCAGCAGGTAAGGTGTATGGGAATATGCATATATCTATATATATATATATATATATATATATATATATATATATATATATATATATTATTAGTTAGT